CCTACCAGCAATTTGGGTAACCTCTTCAGAGGATGGTATGATAAGAATAGGAGGTAGGGGGCTGGAGAGATGGCTCAGCAGTTAAGAGCACTGACTGCTCTTGCAGAGGACCCAGGTTCAATTCCCAGCACCCACATGGCATCTACGAACCATCCTTAACTCAAATTCCAGGGGAATCTGAAGCCCTCTTTGGACCCCTGTGGCATTGCACAACACGGGTGCACTCACATACATGCAGGCAATACACTCATACACATAAAATAAAAATAATAAACAAATTATTAAAAAATAAGAATAGGAAGTAGGAATTGGCTAGGCAGCTAGGGTAAAAAGACCCCAAAGAAAAGTAGCCAGTTTCTTGGCTAAAAAATCATAATGTCCTTGGACCTCTTAGCAACATACTCTGTTCCAAAGGACAAAAATGTCAAAAGTATTTGAGAGCTCTTATCGAATTCCTAAAAGATTTTAGGGTTACATGATAATTAAAAGTATCAGACTGATGGAACTAACCTTATTGGATGTTTAACAGCCATACTTTGATTCCTATACTAAACTGGTCAGAGGGGCTTAAAGGACAGTTTTTGCTCCTTGTCTTCCAAGGTCGGCCAAGTTCCAGGGGACTATGGAACATCTCTCAAAATGTCCTGTAAATGTGGTGAGTCACCTGTCCCCTTGTTCAGGGAGGTCATGGAGACCCCCACGAAATGGACTTGAACCAGTGCCCAGTCTACAAAGAAGAGGGTCAAATCAGAGGAAGCATCTCATTCATGCTTCCCAGTGAAGCCAGACATAGTCGCACAGAACCTTTGACTTATCTTCACATAGATGGAACTGGTAAAGCAAGGAGCCAGGAGCTCCTCCCAAGCCCATGTGACCCTTGAGGAAGAGATCCTCAAATGACCTTAAATGTAAAATAAATTGATTTATTTGGGCCAACTGTATGGTCTTAAACACCCAAAAGGAAAGTATAACCAAAGAGTAAAGTCATCAGTATCCCAAAAGGAAAGTATAACCAAAGAGTAAAGCGATCAGTATATTTCTTTAAGAGTTCAAGAGATTACACTTCTTAGACATTAGGCTTAAGTCCATAAAAAATTATTTAGACAATTATCTTTCATTGATGATTTTGTTCTGAATCAGAAAGTGCTACTCAGATGTAAGACTTCAAATCTTGGTCTGCAATATTTTAGTACCCACCTGTAGCTAAGGGAGACAACCAACTATGGTTCTAAAATGATGGCCAAATTTATTTTAGCCCCTATCTAGATGCCTTTGAGAGGGAACTGACACTGATTCGAACCACTCCAACAGGTATCAAAATGCCTGAAAGCAAATCCTGAATCCACCACTCTCAAGTCCAGCCTTGGCAGACAAAAGGAAAATGAGGAGGAATCCAGTAGAGGGACACTGTTGGAAGCTCTCGTCAAGAAATAACAATGGATTCTCATACAAATATTTGAAATTTGCCCTGTTCTGACTTTTTTCTAGCTCCCTGTCTGGAAACTGTAATGCTAATTACTCTTGCCTTTACTTCTCTTTCACATCTCCTATTCAGGATTCAAGGACTTTCTTTTCCCCTTAGAGATAAGAGTTATACAATTTGGGAGTCTTTTAGATAGATCCACTGAAGGGGTACTCCAATTGTCTCACCCGGTGTCCCTGTTCAGCATGGGAGAAGTCAGAGCGGTCTGTGTCCCTATTCCCTATTGGCAATTTGGGTAATCCCTTCAGAGGATCATGTGATAAGAATAGGAAGTAGGAATTGGCTAGGCAGTCAGGGAAAGACCCCAAAGAGAGCCAGGTGTGGTGGCACACACCTTTAATCCCAGCACTCCACAGGCAGGCGGATCTCTGTGAGTTCAAGGCCAGCCTGGTGAGTTCCAGGATAGCTGCGGCTACAGGGAGACCCTGTCTCTTTCAACACTTAGTGAGTGGTATGGCATGCCTGCCCACAGTGCTCAGGAACATAGGACACATCCCAGCATACAATAGGGCACCATATGATGCTGCTACATTTTGGAGCATGAGGCTTATCCCAGCACACAGTGGGGCATAATGTATGCTCGTGATGCTCAAGAACATGGGTTGCATCCTCCCAGCACAGAGCAAGATGACAAGTTTGCTGGCAGTGCTTGGGAACTTGGGGCATGCCCCAGCACACAGTAGGGCAGGTAGCACTTTTGTGTCAGTGATTGAGAGTATGGACATATTCTAGCACAAAGTAGGTGGCATGCCTGGCACAATGATACAGAGCATGCTGTTTACCACACCAGGTCTTAAAAAAGAAAAGATGGGCTGGAGAGATGGCTCATTAGTTAAGAACACTGTTCTCACAGAAGACCTAGGTTCGAATCTCAGCACCCACATGGCAGCTAACTACTGTCCATAACTTCAGTTCCAGGGGATCCAAATCCTCTTGTGTCCTCCGTGGGTGTGCATGACACAGGTGCACTCACATGCAAGCATAAGACTCATACACATAAAATAATAAATAAAATTTTTTTTTAAAAAGAGAGTACACGAAGTTGTTCAGGAAAAAGTGATAGAGAGATATGGGAGGAGTTGGAGGGGAGGGAGTGGGGTGGGTTTGATCAAAACACCTTATATGCATGTATGAAATTCTCA